TCTCAAAGCACGGAATCAAAGTATGCTTCAATTGTTTGCCTTCCCAAGGCGGAAAAGCCCCGGGGGACCACGTGTCATATTGCCAAAGTGTTGATTCCTGTATCAATGCTGCGCAAATGCTGATACGCTGGCCTTACTGTCTCGTTTTATATATTATATCAATGACGCAGAACTTTCAGACAATGCTGGATCAATTACTTTCCAAATGCCTATGTAAATCGAATGCGACTATAAGCATAGCAAACGACCACATAGGGTGCCAATTCTGGCAACATCAGCTGCACATATGTATCTGCGACTGTGCCGGTAATGTCTTACCTACGTCCACCTCTGCGCTTATCAGTGCCGTGAGTAAATCGCATTAACAAGAGAGTTCACCCCATTTTCTTGAAATTGGTTGCGTTATGGACGCAAATGCGTCGCATGCCATGCCATATATCCACATTGAAACAAGATCTTTCAGAGTTCCTGGGCCAGGAGTTCATCAAAAAATATCTCAATAAAATCTACTACTGGAGCACTCCTTCGATGCTTCCATTGTGGCAATATGCGCCGCAGGCAGTTAGCCACCATTCTTGCTGGTTTTGCCATCGCATTTTCGTAGTATATTCATTGCATGGACAAATATGTGACGTCATCGCCCCTCTTACATATTCGGATGGTCCCCTTGTGTTTGCGAAAGCATACTTCTATCATTGGTATTCGCGAAATTCTAGACGCATGTGGAGTTATGCTATGTTATATTATGTCTCATGTTACCTCCCTGAGATCTGCACATTCAACAAAGTTGCCGGTTTTGGCTCCCACCTGAGGATTTTGATTACCAGCGCCGGAATGGACTGCCCGTCGAAGGCGTGGTGCAACGTGCAAAGCTCGTAAAGTACGCATCCCAAAGACCAGACGTCGCTTTTGGGACCGTATGGCCGGTCCTGCCAAAGCAAACTTGAATGATCAGTGATGACAATTGATTTCTTCGAGCCCACCCGTAACCAGGCTTTGCCCCTGCAGCGCCCATTGAAGACGACTGCAGGTGTGTAATTATTACGCGCGTGATTGAACCAGGGATGAACTCCTGGCGTCTGCCACAATTGCGTGAGGCAGCGACGCCATTGCGATGATAAATGTTTTAACGCACTCGCCGCGAAGGCATTTACAGTGGGCGGAAAACAGAAAATGACAATGCGCTGGCGCTGGGCAGCAAAATCCAACTGAGGGGCGCTTGGAAAACATTGTTATGTTGATGCGCGTTTGGAACAATGTTGCTCCGTAGAGCACAATATTAGCTTACTGAGTCAGCACATTGCAACTTGGGAAAGGTAGTGCAAATTCTGTCCATGGGCTGCCTCGGCGACAATTTCGGGAACCTGTATCGCAGACTTCAGGCGATAGGAAAGTCATTTAGAAAACGCGTTTGCTGGTCTTTAGTAATTTTTGCACGTTGCAACTCAGGAGAGGACAATGCAAATTAAATCCATGGAATGCTTCAGTAATTTTGTAACCCGGTAATTTGGCATTCCTTGGCAACTTGCCTCGCAAATTTCAGGCGACAGGTAGTACGGCGTGCCGACCATGGATCGAGCCATGGCGAACTCCGCGCCAAGAATCTTGGAAATGCCGAAGTCGCCGAGCTTCACTATGCCCTTTGACGTGAGGAAGATGTTCTGCGTCTTCAGGTCGCGATGCAGAATGGCCTAGGCACAGCCAAGAGCAGACATCGGTCAAAGTACACGGTTTCGAAACGTGTGAAATCGCGTAAGACCGTGCCAAAATGTGTAAAAATCACGCGAACTCACTCAGTCGTTACTACGCAATTACGTCCCATTCTTATGGGATGAGTACGTAAGCAACACGATTTTTGCACGAATTCAAATCGTATTAGATGGTACACGATTTTCGAAATCGTGCGTTTTGCCCTGTCTCCTACCAATGAACGCCAATGGACGCATGGAAATCCCAAGGTTGTACAAGATAGCTCGCAAGGGGTCAGAGGCGGGCGCTGGTTATCGAAGCATGGACCCACGTGTCCTCATCGCGTTCTAAAACTATTTGACTGCAGGGTTTCTAAGGCTTACCAACAGTTGAAAAAATGAGATTAATTGACAGAGCGATGACTCTGCGGTACGTTTGCACTTCAGTAAAATCACTCTGCTGATGTCACTATTCGGATATGCTGCTCCAGCGTTTGCTGCGCAGTTGGGCAAGTTTAAGACGTTGTTGTCACTTTTGAATTGTACACCCAGTGCCCTTATTCTTAGGAAATTCTGCAAATTAAATGCACGAAAATCAAACGCATTCTATGAATTACTTATTTTGCTGTATCATCAAAAATGAAGATGCTACTGGCCTGATGATATATACTTCATAGAAACAATGCAAACAACATGAAACTTTGACAGGAAAAGTGTGTTCTATTTCGCAAACTTCCCTATTGTGGTCAAATTGTATTAGAATGGGTTGATATCCTGTATTCGATGCACATAACAGCGTGCTAAGTAGAAGAAAATCACTTTCACCCAATTTATTTTGTAGTTTTCGGTCGATTGAAATTCTCAAATCATCAATAGTTTTGCCAACGTACAATGACTCCTACTGCATAAAGTCAGTGCTTTGTGAGGAAGAAATTCTGGAGGAGCTTTGAGAAACAGGTCACAGGCTTTTGCATTTGCACAGCATTAGCCATCCGTTCATGCAATGACGGTCACCCTGAAAAATGGAACATGTTTTCCACACCGCTTCGAGTTTTACGCCTAAAATTCAGGAGAATTCAATAAAAATGAAAATTCATGGCGTCGGTGGCAGCATGCCCAAGGTCGCAGAAACATTCGGCATGCGCCACTCATTGTAGTCGTGTTGCTCCATGCAGCGATTCCTCTGGAATTTCCTCGGGAATGCACTTGCAATAGCGAAGTTTTAGCCCTCGTAATTACGGGAACTTGTGATGTACATAAAACACAATAACATTATTGACTTTTTATTAGTTGATTATGAATTAATGACAGATCGAATAGTTTGAAGGTAAAATGTGCCAAGGCAAAATGGGTTATTTCCCAAGAATTTATGTTCCGGAAAGTACATTCTGGAACATGTTAACAAGTGACAACAAGTGATAACATACTATCATAGATGCTGGATAATCATGTAAACATCTCTGAACACTGACAGAATTCGACCTTTCAGGCAAAGTAGCTGATTGTGCACGAAAAAACTCCGCCCTTAAATTGTGTCAAACTTTGCTCTAATTCCATGTCAACTATCTCTGATGTGCTAATATTGTCAAAGAGGTATTAATAGAGAAAACGGCGAAACATTGTTTCATTTGTCAAATGAAAGAGTCATCTTGGCTGTCTCAAAGCATCTTTTGCCACTTCACCGCCATTTGTTAGATGATTCAAAACTAAAAGTATTGAAGTGCAGTTACTTCAAATATACAATTGACGCGTTGCTATAACACAACTGAAATGTACGAGCTTCTAGCTGTGCCGCGCGGTTGTCTTGATGAGCGCAACGAGGAGTTCAGGTAGCTGGATGCGCTAATACGGCATCATTAGGCCGGAGCGAGAACTCCCTCTTTCCGCAATACCTTGTGTAGTTTCTGACCTTGTTATGTATGTGGTGCAAGGCCAGGCAGATCTGTACGAATTTCATCATGATGTCTGCCTCTGTCAACAGCTCACCCCCGCGGGCCTTTAAATAGTGCCCAATGTCTCCCTCCTGCGCGTAATTCACGACGAATATTCGATAATGGGTACTTTTCAGAACGATCAGAAACATCAGTACTGTATGGACACATAATAATAGTAAAATAGTACTGCCTCCGTCCGGAAATAAATGAAACAATCTGTTTGGGAGGTTACATTTGTATCACGAACTTGTCAGTTCTCCTTAAAAACTGAACCAAGCCACTACCTACACATTTACCGTGTGCTGCCAAATTCTTGTGGACAACGGACAAGTACCGGCCACATGGCAGTATTTGAACCCTTGTGATTCAGGTTCGCGAATGTTCCAATTCCGGTGCTGAGTCGTTCGCTTTCAAAGTATTACCATATGCATGAGTCTTATTTTCTGTCGATGAATTTTGACAGCATTGACTAAACATATAGTAGATACTCTGGTCCAATTTCCAACGAAAAACAAAAACGATAAGGATGCGGTCAGTCAACAAACTGTTTCATTTAATTCCGGACGGAGGAAGTACTATATTTACAATAGCGATATTACTACTGGATAATTTTGAAAATTGAAGTTAATGAGCGATACTGCGTGATGTTGCATGCCGGTGACAAATGCGAGAAAAACATTTTGTGGGGGAAATCTCATAATGCTCCGTATTTTGAAGTACTGGACAGTGCCATTTTTTTCTGAAAGGCTGTTTTCCTGAAATTCTATCAACGTTTACCGTGAGTAGGCAGCGGCAATTGGAAGTAGCAGGCCTACCCAAGAGAGAACAGCAAGGCCAGAGTGTGGGTGTATGCAAGCATAAATGCGATTGTTACTACAATTACATATTCTGACTATTTTAGTGCAAAGTTACTGTTCTCGTGCTCATGCATTTCAAATCATTTGCCTGAATGACAGTCAGCAATCGAAATACTTAAGTGCGCAAGGACGTAGCAAGTGCTCAAAAGTCACAGCCGCAGTCCATAGGTAATAGATCGATAATTGGATAGAATAGCAAATGTCACAAAGGAACCTACTCGGCTGTTCTGCTTGGGATTGCCTTCGCCATAGTTAACTAAAGTGCCTCCACAGGAAACTTTTCAGTCGTGCACAAAACAATATGCTGATGAGCACCGCTTTGTGGCTTGGCGAAAATTGAGAGCCAGAGGCTCCTATGCGCCACATGGCGTGCAAATCCCTCAACTTACCCAAACGACGCACCAAACGCTTGACATATCATGCGCAAGTGCTGCGGTGCTTCGCGCATCACGAGTTATGTGCAAAAGCCATTCCATATCGGCAGCACCTCAATCCCAAAGCATGCAAACTTAAATCTAACACTAAGTGACAAAACCTTTATCGGCAGTCCTTGATGGCACCAAGCTTGGTGTGAACCGCTGATGCGGTTCGAGAGTTGAGCAGCCAAGGCTTTGCGTCCAAGACCGGCACAGCACTGCATCAGATGGATCAGGCAGATCATTCATGATAACCTCGCAGAATTCCATGACGATGTGCATCTTCCCGCTGTCCGAGTAACAGTCGTAGTACTTGACGACGTTCGGGTGGTTTAGGTGCGCCAGCACCTTCACCTCGTTCTTGCACTGCCGAAACAGACGCTCCCTTGTAAAACGCGCAATATGCGGCAGCGTGCCAGTGTTTAAAACGCAATTGAGTGTCTTATTGGAATGCTAGGTCGAAAGTTCCCGCATAAGAAGATATTTAAACTTTTGAATAATATGGAAAGTTGAATTTGAATAAAGCTCGATTGAGAATTAAATTTTGTGATCGGTGCTGTTGTGGAAGCTCTCAAGATTTTGAAGTTTTATTTCAAGCCGTGTATCCCTGAATATTCGGAAGTGAAACCAACAAACAGCAATTAATTGAAGTATATACACTTCAATTAATAGTTCTATGATGGTTTCACTTCTAAATGTATAATTTATTACATATAATTTTGCTATAGGACTAACAGCACCAATAATAGCAAGAAAAATTGCGAATTTCCACATGTGATTGCCTAAATTCGACCAGTTTATCGCCTAAAATGCCGCAAGAAGATATTGAGGGCAAGTGTTTATCTATACCATGATCTGGGAAAGAGTAGACAAAATACTGTTTTTTGAAATGATGAATTGAGCGTTACAGTGTTTTCGTTCGCTTGCGAAAGATCCATCTACTGCTGGATGGTCAATGCGAGTCTTGAAGCAAAAAAAGCTCTTTGCAGTAGAATCCGTTGCAATCAGATCACATCGGTATTCGCCATAGCCATAATTGTTGCTCTCCGTATTTGAATTCTCCGCATACAAATGATCATTAATAATTAGGCTTCGCTTATGCAAAAAGCTTAAAGTAGCACCAGTCCAAAACAGCGCAATGGGGAGATCCCGGATTAATCCTTCAAAGGTCTATAGCTTGCACTGACAAGCCTAGGCCAATCTTCGCCCTGAATCTCATGGCACTTGTCGCGGAATGTGAAATACAGATGGGTGAACAGCCTTTCGTGCAAAATGTCGGTAGTGAGCCAATAGCACAATTAGTGTGCAACATCTTGATTTCCGAGCAAATTGTAAAACTATTGTGTTCAATATGTCCAATCGACCCATAATGCAATAAACATATTCAAAATCAAAGAAAAACATGTTTTGAAGTTGTGCAACATTACCATTTCTACACTTGTGTAATATCCACTAACGACATTTTGCACGAAAAGGTGTTGGTGGGATTTCCGCTTACTTCCAGCCTCTCCTTCTGGCTCATCCTCCCAATCAGCACCTCCTTGACGACAACCAGGTGGCCGTCCGAGCGCCGTCGGGCTTTCATAGCCCTTCCGTACGCTCCGCTCCCAATGTGGTCGAGGAGCTGAAAATCAACGTAGAAACAGGACCTGAGCAATAAGAAGGGAAGCTTATCGGTGCTGACGCACCCGCGAGGTGACGCGTCACCGGCTTGCAACGCCAAATCCTTAGACAGTGGTCGATTCAACCATTAGTGCCACTGGCGTCGGTGTGCGGCCATGCATATCCTCGCCTTGGACACTTCATTCTGCCTATCCAACTCTCACTCTCTGTCTTTTGCATCGCTGAATGTTGTTATAAATCGACGCCACCATGAGACACCCAACACCAGCTGGCAAGGAATTGTCCATTTTACACAGTCTTTACCTGTGTTTCAATTGTGTCAACTTTGTGTATATCGTGTATTAGAGGCCTAAACGTCTTGAAGTGGTGCAAATCGTGTTGCCTCAACCGTATTCTTGCGGCAATTTTCACCGGCGATCGGAACTTGCGCCCGCCTCACCCCGACTTTGCGATGACGGACTGTATTCTGTTCTTGGCGACGTCCCATCCGCTCCTCCCGTCCCTCTTCGGCTCGCATTTCTTCTCCTCTTCCTGCCTGCCTCCCTCGCCCCCGTTCGACTTCCCCCGAGTCTCGCCGGCCGTCGCGCTGCTGTCCAGATCCTTCATTACTTCCGCCGCGATCATTCGCCAGCCCGTGAGCTCCCCCCAATCCTGCTTCTCCGCACCTGTAAACAAGCGGCCCTTCTCATCATCATCATAGTCACCACCATCACTACGTTTCTACATAACAAGCAATTAAGGAGCCGTCAGCTTCTTATTTTGCCAGAGCAAAGCAATGTATAAGATCAGTTCACGCGGCCCTTTCAAACACGTTCGGTCTTTTGCATCACCAGTACAAACTACATTTTTGCGGCGTCCACTGCGACACCATTGACACTGATTGATGGCACTGCTCCCATTTTCATTCCATCGCAATATCTGAGGTGGCGCCACTGTGTTTCAAAATGTTATCACAGTGGGCATCGCAGACCTGGTGCTTGCTGATGGTGCATTCTGCGTTGAGAATGCGTACATGTGTGGCTTATTCTAATTGCGTACCTTCAGTTTGGGTTTGGTGGTATTGGATTTACACAAGCGCTTTGGGATTGTGCGTTGGTGCTATGAATATCTGCAGCCACACTACAGCGACGCTTCAGCCTTACAACGCGGCGCAACGCGAAGAATCACAGCAGCAATAGAAGTCCCATTGTAGTCGTATTTTCAATCGCAATCGTAGTCCTCAAGAATCATTGGGAAAGTTCTAGGCTGCTTTTGTTTCCTCATATCACAAGCTGTCGAATTCCGCAACACTTAATGCATTGACTCCATCTTTGGACTGCGCGCCCAAACGCTAGGTAAAAAGGTCCAAAAAGTACTTTTATAGGACACACAAAACGCATTTCATCAAAGTTCTGCACGCTGGGAACACAAAAATAACCCAAACCTGTCAATATTACACACGTTTGAACACGTGTTATTTGGCCCTCTTTTCCTAGTGAAAGCCGCTGGAACGACTTTGACTGAAACTTCATTGAAAGCTGGTTTTCGTTATGGAGAAATTGTGCGCCGAAATCGCAGAGAGCAATTGGCTTGGGAAGCAGGAAAAATTGAACCGGTGCTGAATCGTTAACAATTTGTCCCAGAGTGTTTTTCGTGTTGCCGAGGTCAATTTCAGGCGTTACCCCACCTCCCGTCGACGGCTCGCACTCCCCTCCACTGTAATCCCCACCTTGGGAGCATTCCCCCTCGTCGCTGTAGTTGGCGAATCCGTGGTTCGTCTCGCGGTTCGTCGAGTAGTGGTCACGGGTCGTATTGCCCGTCGACCCCGCCTTGGTGACAGACCTGTCGGTGGGCCCGGACCAAGAGGCGGGGTCGATGTCGCCGGTGATCGTGTTCTGGTACGACATGGCGCTGCCTGCGTTCCGTCGCACCACGTGACAATAAACTATTTGTTCATGGCCAACTATTCGCTCCGTTTTTGTCCCATTTGCGTCTATGATTTTGGTGCGTTATTTCTTTATTATAAGTGTTCAATTTTCGGTGAAATTTGGTCAAAGCTGGGCCCAAGAGCTTGAGATGCGCTATCGAGCATTAGGTCAATGCGCTAAGCCTGCGGGATTGGGAGCACTTTGTAGCAAGGATCCACCGTTTAGTAAACCTCGAATTTTCACTCGGAAACGATAGAATTTACTTTCCGTGCAATGCTCAAATGCCCGGAGATGAAAATTTTCTGGAAAATTAGTGTCTGAGGCTCTGAGAGCCCAGTCTCTTCAATTCTGACTCCCCGCGATAAATCTGAAGCGGTTCTTTTGATTAAATTCGTCCCTTCAAATAGAGTCAAATGAAAATGGGATGTTTGATTAGGTTGTCATATATCTATCTGGGGCAAACAGGCGACTGCATTTAAGAGCATTTTTGCAGGAATGAAACGGGGATTTGATTTTCACATGTATATCCCGAATCACCCACTGCTCAGTACATCTGTACTTATAATTAAATGCGCTTCACTCGTGATTAAAGGGTACATTGTCCCCACATTCATATGCCGTTATCACTGTAATGGATCATTCATTGCTCGACGAACTTGATTGGTTGAAAGCTTGATCGGGCCAACTATCCATCGATTGATGCGCTAACTGGTTGATTGACACAAGGCGAATGCTCACTGCGCGCAATTAATCCGAATATGGTAAAACTGCCATCGGAATTGCTTTTGAATTCACTAGGTTGCTGAATGCACAAGCAATTCCGATGGTAGTTCGACAGAGAGACTATTTGCGCTTGCGCCAAACACAAGGAATTATGCGCCAAGGCAATGTGGCGCCCTTGCTGTTCCACCCCAAGTAGCGTTTCACAAATTGATATCACTCGACAATTGAATGATTTTGGCACTGCGTGTAATAAGTACACAATTTCGCAGATTTCCGATCGCTGCTTCTGTCTGGATTGTCAGGCAGGCTGCAGCGCGACTGTCATTCGCACTCAACTGCTTTCATGCAAGTTTTCAGTCCCATTCTTTCTTGGGGACGCCATATTCATATCCAGCATAAAACGGCATTTTGCGATGCGAGCTGTGATACCGATTTTGAAATTAAGTGGCGACATCGCAGTGATTGCGATGGGGGCAAAAGCAGCTGCGAGGGCATCAATTAGTGTAAAATGGCATCGCACTGGCCTTCGCAGAAGCGCCGTTTCCTACTGGTGCCCGCAATCGAGCGAATTCGCTGAGCGCAAGGATGACAGAATATCATATACGCTATATATAATAACAACGTTATATATAATATGTATTGCAAAAACATTACTGTAAACAATGTGCATCATACGAATTCGCACGAATTTAGTCAGCTTTGTCAGCATTCTAACAGCCAGTCGAGCAAAACTGCTGAGCACATTTTGCATGAAGATCAGAATCGCTTAGGCGCTGGCGCAGCAGTCCCTGGCGCACAGGTTCTCCATTTCCCACAAGTTTTTTTCTCGTTTTCACACTAGGAAAAAAGGGCAAAATAACACGTGTTCAATCGTGTACAAAGTTTATGGGTTTGTGTTACTTTTGTGTTCTGAGCGTGCAGAACTTTGATGAAATGTGTTTTATGTGTGTTCGCAAAAGTGTTAGTTGCCCTTTTTTTCCT